CTGTCTTACATATAAATGGCTTCATTTGATTTTTACAACAATCCTTTTAGGTAGGTGCTGTGATTATTCACATTTTTAAGATGAGGAACCAAGGTTCAGAGAAGTTGTATAACTTGTCCAAGTCATACTGGTGGTAAGTAGTGGAGCCAGGTCATCTGGTTGCTAAAGTCCCGGCCCTGCACTCATACAACTACCCTGCCTGACTGTTCTGCCCTGTTTAATGGGCCAGCTGGAGGGTACCTATATGTTTCACTTCGATGTAAAGTCTGCCAGTCGCCTGGCCTGAATGATTCTATCACTAGAAGTCAAGGCCTTCACTAACCAGCTGGATCCTACCTGCTAGAGTAGATTTCGCAGGACCTTTGGAGCTAGGCAGGCCTAGGTCTGAATCTCAGTCCTCCCTCCCTCACTAGCTGTTTCCTTGAGAAAATAATTAACTTGAGTTAAAGAAACCCTAGTCTCTTTATTTCTAAAATAATAACAGCAAATACTAACAGCACATATGATGGGCCATTGTTCTGAGTACATTAACTCACAGCAACTGTATGATGTTGTTACTATCATTATCTCCATTTTATAGATGAGGTCACTGAGGCATCAAGAGCTTAAAGGTCAAGTAATTTGAAATCAGAGGTGAAGCTCACATGTGGACCCAGACAGTCTAACTCTAAAATCCATGCTATTAGCCACACTACTATGCTGTGCTGTCTCTAGAGATGATAGGATCAAGGGTGTAAAATCCTCTGGTCTAGAGCCAGGCACAGAGTTGATGGGGTGATTACAAGGTTTAGAATAAGAAAGTCTAACAGCTCTGACCACCCACAAAAAGAGAAGCACCAATTTGTGGAAAGTGTTCTGATTTTGATCTTATACCAAAGACTTCTTATGTCTTTGCCTTTGAACTTTCAGGATTTGCTGGCTGAAGCTTTCCTAATTGTGGGAATTCCTTTAGAGAAGGCGTCTGTTGGTACACACCACCTACCTTCCCTGCACCTGCCGGGGTGCAGAGCGTGCAGAGCGTGCACAGCAGCTGGGATGAGAAACAGTAGAGTGGCCACCAGCACAGGTGTACTCATCCCCCTCCCCCCCCATGGCCTCCGGCCCAGCACAAGCTGCTGTACTGGAGCTGCAGTCTTTCCTGTTGACAGTAATTAGAACCTTTCAGACTCAATTTCTTACATGAAAAAAAATCCCAATTCTCCTGAATTGTCTCCTTGATCCAGTTCACCTGGAGCTATTTAGTTTCTGCAGTTTGCTTGGAGGGCAAAGCAAACTCTTAAGCCTTCACACATTAATAGTTGATAAGATCAAGGTCCTAAAAATGTTAGTTGGGTAAACTTCGGAGCTGGCTACCTGATTTTGACTTCCAGTTCGGCCTCTTTTTTTTTTTTTTAGTTAGCAAATGATTATTCTTTACTGTTTCCCAGTGTTCCATCACTTTTTGTCACTTTTTAAAAAATGTATCTTTATTGTTGAAAGTATTACGGGTGCTCCTTTTTTTCCCCATTGACCCCTTCTACCCTGCACCCCAGAGGGAAGGCAGGCATGGATGGGTGGGTG